GGATTGGGCCTGGTTTAATGGGTTGGATTTTAGGTCGTGGATTTGGGCAGGATATCATATTGGATTTGGGCTTGGTTTTAGGTTACAGGTCGAGTCAACGCGATTGGGCTCGCGGGTTACCGAACCCAACGAAAGAGAAAATTAGAACTCTGGGGATTTTGGCCAGGAAACTTCCCCGGCTCCGATTTGGGGTCAAATCTCAACTATTTCCCACGTTCTACATACCAAAATGAAGATAAACAAGTGTAGATTAGAATTATACCTTTCTCCGAGTCAACCATGGCTGGAATTGGCTGAAATTTGGCTTGCAAGTTGTCGAGTTTTCACCGGAAAACTGGGGAGAGGAAGAACATGCATGGACAAGGTTAAAACCTTTGATTTTCAACTCAAAAATCACCCAAACAACCTAAACACATCGAACTCACCTCGATTTCATCGAATTCCAAGTTGAGTCGCCAGAGAACATGGTTTTTCCACCGTGCATGCATGGTTGACAGGGAAGCAAGGGATGAAATTGAAGTGATGATCTACGGTAAAGTTGGCCTTTTGAGGCTCGATTGCCAGAGATCAGATTGAGAGAAGAGAGGGAGTGCTGAGAGAGATGTCGAGCTAGGGGGAGAAGAGGAAGAGAGTGTTCTAGAGTGAGAGATTTGTCATAGGTGGGGGAAGAAAACTATGGACCGGGTTACAAACCCAACACAGGGGTGGGTCCCACATGCCAACTCATGAAAGTTAACGAAAAAAATCAACCGTTCCGTCATTAGGGGTATTTTCGTAAATTTACATGTAAGTTTTAAAATGGGTTGTTACAAACCACATTTCAATATTTTCTACACTTTCTACACTTTCTACATTTGAATATTTTGTACACTTTGAGAGAAAAAAATGACTTCGTGGAAGCTCAGTGAAGATGTTACGTTGTGTGAATGTTGGGTTCGCACTACTCATGACCCGATTACGGGTAATGAGATGGATAAGCGAGAAATGTGGAGTAAAATTACGAAATCGTTCAACGATGTACATGGAAAAGATGCCAGATCTAGTCAAGGTCTTCAAGGTCGTTGGAAAAAACTCAACGCATCCTTTACTTGTTGGAAAAACGCCCTCTCTCATACTTCTGGTAATTTGCGTAGTGGGACAAGTTTAGCGGATGAGGTAACAATATTTTTATTTATTTATATGCATTCCACCCACATCAATATTTTAATTTATTTAATTTCTTATGTAATTTTTATGTAATATGCATTCCAAATACTTATGTAATTTTTATGTAATTTTTATATAATTTTTATGCATTCCACAATTCTTATTTAATTTCTTATGTAATTTTTATGTAATATGCATTCCAAATACTTATGTAATTTTTATGTAATTTTTATATAATTTTTATGCATTCCACAATTCTTATTTAATTTCTTATGTAATTTTTATGTAATTTTTATATAATTTTTATGCATTCCACAATTCTTATTTAATTTCTTATGTAATTTTTATGTAATATGCATTCCAAATACTTATGTAATTTTTATATAATTTTTATGCATTCCACAATTCTTATGTAATTTTTATGTAATTTTTATAGACACTACAAGCACAAGCATTCTACAATGCAAAGAACCATAACAAATCATTCAACAAATGGGAATGTTGGCAAATTGTCAAAGATTGCCCTAGATACAAAATTGTGGCAACCGGTCCAGAAGTTGTCATGCACGGTATGGGTCTACACAGTTCGCCAGAAGCAGACACAGCCGAACAAGAAGCCAACACATTTGAAGACACGGAAGGGATGCCTGAACAAGTGCCAGAGACCCAACCGACTCGTCAGTCCCTCAGGCCTCAAGGTAAAAAGGCATCAAAGAAAAAAGGTAGTTCTTCCAAAAATGACTACACTAAATATATGGAGGAACTTACTCGTCAAGGTGAAATGAACATGGCATGGGAAAAGGCTAGAGATGAGGAAAAAGCTGCTGCTGTGGCAGCAATTATTGCAGCTACTGAGGCTCGTGATGCGGCGTCTGAGAGACAAAGAGAAATAGTTAATCGAGAGAACGAGATGATTAGAGAAGCACTTCATCGAGAGAATGAGATGCTTAGAGAAGAAAGGATGGCTCAAACAGATCGTGACACTATGAACAAGTCTCTAGTAGGACTGTCTCCGAATTCAAAATATTTTTGGACATCAGAAAAAAGAGATGTCGTGCGAAGGAGGCGTGCAAGAGATGCCGAAACAAGTCAAGGGGGTTCCAGCTACAGAAATCCTAGCAACCAAGATCCTAGCACCACATATCCTAACTCCACAGACTTTATTTAATTTCTTATGTAATTTCTTATTTATTTTTAGAACTTTATTTAATTTCTTATGTAATTTCTTATTTATTTTTAGAACTTTTTTTAATTTCTTATGTAATTTCTTATTTATTTTTAGAACTTTATTTAATTTCTTATGTAATTTCTTATTTACTTTTAGAACTTTATTTAATTTCTTATGTAATTTCTTATTTACTTTTAGAACTTTATTTAATTTAAAATTAAAATTACATAACCTCACCATTTAAACTTAAAAAAAAAACCATTTAAACTTAAAACACCAAATAAAATTACATAAAACACCATTTAAACTTAAAACACCATTTAAACTTAAAAAAAAAAAAGCAAACACACTAAATAAGATTACTTAAAAAACAATACACTTTATTCTTCAACCACAAGCCTTATTTTAATTATCTTCGCCTTCGTGCAAGCTCCACTGATGCTCAATCAAGTCATTCTGGCGGGCTATGTGCCAGTATGGCTCTTGCAATGAAGTGTATCGTTGAACGATCAATTCATTGTAACGTCCATCCCGTTCCAACGGCTCGTGTTGCACGGGATCTTCGGTCCGGTCATGAGCATAGTAGATTTGTGTTCTTGAGTTGTTCATCGGATCCGGCTCGTATTCATCGACGACATCATAATCATACTCGTCTTCAACAATCATGTTGTGGAGAATAATACACGTCATCATGATGGATCGAAGAGCCTCGACATCAAACATTCTAGCTGCACCCCTGACAATGGCCCAACGAGCTTGCAGGATACCAAAACAACGCTCGACATCCTTCCTACACCCTTCTTGACACTTTGCGAAGTGTTTCTCTTTTTCACTCTGCGGGTGTGGCACTGTTTTGACAAATGTTGACCACCTTGGGTAAATACCATCTGCAAGGTAGTATGGTCCCTCGTATTTAGTACCATTAACCCAATATGTGCATCTCGGCCCACGCCCTTGTAGCAGTTCGTCAAACACTGGAGATCGGGCAAGGAAATTTAGGTCATTCTGAGCTCCTGGAACACCAAAAAAAGCATGCCAAATCCATGTATCAAAAGAAGCCACCGCTTCCAGAATGATGCTTTTGGCTCCTTTTCTGTCGCCATAAGCTCATTGCCACGCACTTGGACAGTTTTTCCATGTCCAGTGCATGCAGTCGATGCTTCCAATCATGCCAGGGAAGCCTCGCATCTCAGCCTTCCTAAGAAGCCTTCGCATGTCCCTTGGCGTGGGTTGCCGAAGGTACTCATTGGTGTAGAGGGCTTCAATTGCAGAGCAAAACCGCATCAGGGACTCCAGAACTGTTGTTTTTCCCATCCTTGCGATCTCATCCACTTGATCTGCAGATGCTCCATATGCAAGCATTCGCAAGGCAGCCGTAATTTTTTGCTCAGGAAGAAGACCTAGAACATGAAAAGCATCATCTTTTTGCACAAAATATGGATCATGGTTGCAAACATCACTCATGATTTTAGCGAACAAACTTCGTTGCATTCTAAAACGACGTCTAAAAACATGATCAGGGTAAACGCTGTTGGGAATAAAATAATCTTCCAAGAGATCTTTACCTCGTCTTTCCCTTCTTCTATCGATGTTTGCCGCACGTCCAGGTTTGGCTATCTGACCCATAGCTTGCATGATACGACGGGAATGTGAGGCCCTCCGCCTTCTATGGTGATCATCATCATCCTCCTCCATTGCGAAGGCCTCATCTCCACCTCCACCTTGGTCAAGATTGACCAATTCTTCCTGTTGTGCCAACAACCTTTTCTGCTGCTCTTGCAACTGTTTATACGCTCTCCTTGAAGAAGACATTGTAAGAACTCAAGATTTGAAAATGATAAAGAAGAATTCTGAGCTAAAAAAAAGGATTGAGTTTAGTGTGAGGATGGATGTAGGGATGTAGGGTTTATATGGACAAAAAAAAAGAAGATGAGGTTCAGGACAATGCCACGTGGCACTACGTGATTGGTTGAAAATCTTAGCGGAAATCTATTCAAAAAATAGTACGTTCGGATAATGACACGTGGCGTGACGAGATTGGTTAAAAATCTTATCGAAATCTTGCCTAAATTATTGTAAACAGGAAGTGACACGTGGGTTGTCGGGATTGGTTGAAAATCTTAGCGGAAATCTATTCAAAAAATAGTACGTTCGGATAATGACACGTGGCGTGACGAGATTGGTTAAAAATCCTATCCGAAATTAAAACTATTTTTTTTTATTATTTTATAAAAAAATTATTTAATATTTTAAATGGACTGGGTGCCAGCGCATTTTGTAGGGGTGGAGATCGTTTGTGCCAGCGCATTTTTAGACTAGGTGCCAGCACATTTTTTTTTGGGGTGGAGATGCTTTGGCCTATTACTGTTCATTGAGTCTGTTACTGTTCAATTAAGTGGATAAATGGGCTGGGTGCTGGCGCAAAGTGGATAGGGGTGGAGTTGCTCTTATGCAGAAATCATGGAGTATAAGATGCTACTGGGGAAAAAGAAGCCACTTGTTAAAGTAATTCACGTTACCTCCTGAGGCTAGTGTTGTGTAGGAGAAAGACAGTTCATCGTAACAAACAGAGCCACATCCAGGACACATCTACGACTAGGAAAATGTGTGGATAGGGCAGTTGGCAACTTCATTATTTGAATTGAATTAAACAAATATTACAAATGAAAAAGTCATGGCCACCGTGTATAACGTATGTATCCGTATTTCGTGCCGACGAAAAGTCTCTAGATGTGAAAAATCTCTGACACGGGTTGGGGGTACAAGCTTGTCTGACGAAAAGAAAAAGTAGAAGAGAGGGGAGGACACCTGTGAACTCTCTCTGTATGAAGCAAACTTGGCACTCTTTGTAGGCCGCCCTATCTAATCTGATATCCCTAAAAATCCCTAGCTTGCTCTACCGTAGGCCGCCCTTCTCCCTTCGTTCTCCTGGATCAGTAGCAGTCCGTGATGGATGCCACAAACAACTCGAGCAGCCCAAAGAAAACAGCGAGGAAGAAGAAGAAGCGAGGTGGGAGCGGGAGCAAGAAGAAGATGACCGCCGAGCAGACTTTAGCTTTCAAGTCTGTGAGTGAATGGGTTTTCTTGGAACAGCACCAAGCTTCTTCCGCTGCAGCGTCGGATGATTTTGGGGTTTCGTTGGTGCAAAGGAGCACTCCAAACAAGCTACTCTTTGAATTGCATTCCCATTCAAATTGCAGTGATGGGTTTCTTTCGCCTTATAAGCTGGTCGAGAGGGCTCACGAAAATGGGGTGAGTTAAATTCTGAACGAAAATCTTTCGTTTCGTGGGTGTCGGTTCTTGAACTTGTTATAGTTTGCTTATTTTCTATCATGTAATTTCTTTGTCAATCTCTTTAGATTACATGTTAACTTCTTTAACCGCTTGTGGGTGTCGAATTCAATCTTCTCACACATTCTGGCTTTCTAGTAGTAGGAGTAGGAGACATACCCTGTATTGGTTAAAATGCAGCATCTTTAACCTGTTTAGGGTCTTTTTTTCTGGCCTGAAATATTAGCAGATTAAGCATACTCGCTGTAATGAAGGATGGGACTTGGGTTCAACCTCATGCGGGCGAAGGATGTTAGTTACAATGAAGACTTAATTGGCTTTCAATAGACTCGGGGACTATGAAGGCATCACAAAAAATTAACCTTCTATTTGCTGTATGCATAGGGTAGGGGAGAACAATTTTTTTTCACCTTAATTGTAGAAAGAAGAGGGTTTATTTGGACCTTAAAAGGCTGCGAACACAGGAAAGGCAATGAGCTCCGCAGTAGTTAATCTAATTAGGCTGCGAACACAGGAAAGGCAATGAGCTCCGCAGTAGTTAATCTAATTACTTTTGTATCAGGTTGAGGCAGCCATTACTATTTCCCAGTTTGTGGGGGAGTGTTGGCTATAGCTCTTTACAGCCCATTCTAGTCTCTGTTATTGTCTTGCTCAATTCTTGTTAAGTTTTTCTCCAATAGCTGTTGAATTTGTGTTGTACTATATTTTCCGAAAGCTGGGGAATGTTGATATCCATGCTCTAGTTTGAGAAGTGTAGTTGATGGAGACGATGAACAGCTTTATGTTTAGGGATGACTTAGCAAATTTAGTGTGCTGGTTTGGGCTAGCTAAAGTAGTGATTCGGTTGAAAGGGTTGAGGTTTATGTATGATTTTTAAGGGTTATTTATACGTATTCCATTCAATTTTATGTATGGAGGTTATTTAAGGCTATGTCATAATCGAATCTGTTGATGCACAAAATCGGGTTGACTTTGGAACAACATAAAGTGTCACAAAGTGACCTTCGAAGATAGTAGATTGAGAGATAAGGGGAAGAGAAATAGACACAAGGTATATGTGGTTCACCCTAAGTTGGGCTACATCCACGAGGGTAGAGGAGTTCTCTTTAACAATGTAGTCTTTACATAATACAAGGGATTGCACATAATTGTCGTTAGCAAGATCTAAGTTGGGCTACAGCCTGTTGCTGTCCCCTGTCGATGTGAGACTCTAGATACTTTATACTGGTGTTGACACATGGCGCATGGTGATTGGTCTCCTAGTTGGAGAGAAACTCATGTGCTTTGGCAAGTGTGCCTCACCATGAACTCTTCAGCAAGTCTCCAAAGGTATATAGTTGCCCGTGCTTGGTAGTTTCGGGCTTGGTGAAATATGGTACAAACAGAATCCATGACTCTTCCAACAATTTCTTGATTTTCTACTCAACATCTTTTCTCATGGGTGTAACTGATGTCGGAAAAGACCCAAAATATCGTATGTATTGACATTAGAAGTTCTTTGGCCAGTTAACTAAGGTTCCTACATTTTAAATACATGAATACATGCTGAGATGTAGTGATCTTTAATTAATATATGTGCTCATAACAGGTGAAAGTTCTTGCTCTGACAGATCATGACACAATGTCTGGCATCCCCGAGGCCCTAGAAGCAGCTCGGAGACATCGCATTAAGATAATTCCAGGTGTTGAAATAAGTACAAAATTCTACCCAAGGTAACTTTGGAAGAAGTATGCCTTCTGGATGCTTTTAAATAAGTACAACATTGGGCTGTTGTAAACTGCATTTATTACATAAGAAACTAGAAAGGATATACTTAAACAAATTTTGAACTTTGCTCCTGCATCATTCACCCTTGGTTGCAGAAAACTTGACCTTGAGTTTGTCATGTTGAGGTAGTAAGATCTTAAGCTGGTACCAAGTTCCCATCCTTGCCAAAACCGTAGGATCTTCCACCTTGTAAGAACATAGTGGAGGGACTTACTATCTAATACCAAAATTGACATACGAGAATGGGAAAGTCCAAGCCTAGTGAAAAGAAATTTTGGTTTTGGTTATTTGTTTGTTTGGTAAATCTTCTGCATTCGGTCGTGGTTTGCTGAACACATGGACTATTACGGTTTTGTGAAAAACTAAAAAGTTGGTCGTTACACTATTTGAGAATTCATAGCATTTTTGGCACTAAAATATCATGAAGTTATTATAAGAAATGATACAAGTTGTCTTAAGATTTTTGGTGGGAGGGGATGAGTGATGAATGTTTTGGGTTTATGGGTAGATTGCCATTTCAAATTCTTCTTTCCTGATATTTTTCCTTTCTTAAACCAACTACGTTGCTTATTGTCATTTTACTCAAGGGTAATTTGGAAGTTTATTATTCATTAAAAAGGTTATAGTTGAAACTTGAGTTCAAATCGAGGCACCCTTAAACTAAATGAGAAATAAGGTTATTTTAGCAATGGAAAGGAAATATCCCATATCGGTAGTTCTTGAACACCTCCGATGATGTTTCGCAATGGTTTCAGAGGAGAGTCTGCACCAGAGGAGCCAGTTCACATCCTTGCATACTACAGCAGCTGTGGACCAACAAGTTTCGAAGATCTGGAAAAGTTCTTGTCAAATATAAGGGATGGTCGTTATCTTCGTGCAAAAAATATGGTCTTGAAATTGAACAAGCTCAAGTTCCCTCTTAAATGGGAGCATGTCGCAAAGATTGCAGGCAAGGGAGTTGCTCCTGGGAGAGTGCATGTGGCCCGTGCGATGGTTGAAGCCGGCTATGTGGAAAATTTGAAACAAGCTTTTGCCCGCTATCTTTACGATGGTGGACCAGCATACTCTACGTAATATTTTGAGCTTACTGTTTTCAGATTACTATTGATTCGTATATATGACTAAGAAACAATTATAAAGAAATATTTTATTTGTATGAGTTCAGGGGAAGCGAACCTCTGGCAGAAGAAGCAATAAAACTGATATGTGACACGGGAGGTGTGGCTGTGCTAGCTCATCCTTGGTCATTGAAAAATCCAGTTGCCATCGTCAAAAGTTTGAAAGAAGCTGGTCTTCATGGGATCGAAGTTTACAGAAGTGATGGAAAACTAGCTGGTATGCTATACGAGATGCAACTATTTGTTCCTTTCTGTATAATGTGTGTTTTACACGGTCGATGCAGAAATTTTACTTGTACATTGTCATCTTTAGAAAGAGAATGGATATCAATGTTTTTTCTTCAAATAGATTTACACGTTATGCATCTCTTTCTAAGAATATAAAACGACTGAGGGCTTGGCCTTCAACTTTGGGTAAATTCATGCTAAGTGTTACAGGTCATATTCCTGGTAGAAAAGGAAAGCGTCTTATTAAGATGGTCGAAAAGTTGTATGTTTTACTATAAGGAGGAGCAAGCTGGAATTGCTCCCAACTCACCCATGCTATACGTTGGAGTCATAGGATCTAAGTGTCAGTTTACTGTTTGTCGTCTAACAAGCGTGTAGGTCAAATGCAATTCAGTGACTCTCTACTGCACAATTATTTCAGTAAGACACAATGTTTTTCATCATGATAATGCAATATACTCGGTGAGCTTCTGGTTGGAGCTGTGTCCAACCGGCATGAATAGATCTGTAGATCACGTGCCTGTTGGGTTATGCCTTTAAATGTCTTAACTTCTTGTGGCATAAACGTGGAATCCTGGTTTTCATTTGGTAGATGTTGTCCTTGGAAACAATGGAAGTTTTTTCTTATGTTCTTAGTTCTGTACTCATCTCTGTCCGCTGGTGTTGTCAACAGTGTACAGTGATCTTGCTGATACTTATGATCTGCTGAAGCTTGGAGGGTCAGATTACCATGGGAGAGGTGGGCATCGCGAGTCCGAGCTGGGTAGTGTGAATCTTCCAGTATTGGTTTTGCGTGACTTTCTTAAAGTAGCTCGACCAATTTGGTGCTGTTCCATTCGGCGCATTTTAGAAAATTATGCCGAGGAGCCTTCGGATTTGAATCTAGCAAGGGTTACGAGGTTTGAGAAAGGAGGTTCCCACTTAAGCTGCGGCAAGGACCTGATTGATCGTTGCTTCAATTTGTGGTTGACAAGTGATGAGAGGCAGAATGCAGTTTTTGAGGCCATTAGATTGAAGCTTTCCCATGTTTCAATTAATAAGGGAGGTATCCAGGTTCTTATAGAGAGTACATAAAATCCTCATGGATTGATATGTTTTCAGGTACCAATGAGGTGATATGTAATTTATTGTTCCAACTCTTTTAGTTTTTGCCTTATTTTTTCGGGAACTTTTGCCTTCACTGTCACACTATCAAGTGAGTGGAAGAGATGAATTTTGTTCAATTTTTCTCAACATGTAAAACTGGATTTTTTTTTTTTATAGAAATATCTATTCAAGTTTTCGTCAAAAGGCAAAAATATGACTTTTGGACATCTCTTTTCTTTAAATCCACACTTGTTTATTTTTGGGTAGCGTAATTCACGCACTCATTTTTACATCTTACGCATCTCTTTCAATTTTCGACTGTCATATCGAATGAATTGAAGAAAATCAATAACAAAAATTAAAAGGGGCGCATAGAGATTAAAAAATGAACACTAAGGAAAATAGTTTCAAAATTTTGAATTTTAACCACAAGTTATTCAATAATTTTATTTAATGATAAGGACAAAAGAAGGAAAGAAAAAAACCTAGCCAAAAGTGCGTGCAAGGTGCACACCAACCCTCACTCAGTTTTAAAAATAGTACTCGTATTTAGTTTCAGAAATAATTAGTTTAAGAAATAATGTAGTACCAGTGTTTGGTTTCAGAAATATTTAATTTTAGAAATAGTGTTCAGTTTTAAAAAATATTGATAGTACTAGTGTTAAGTTTACAAAATAATAATAGTACCTGTGTTCAATTCTCAGAAGTAGTTAGTCTTTAGTTTAAGAAATAGAGTAGTACCCGTGTTCATTTTTAGAAATAGTAATTTAAGAACTAATTAGTTTTGTATTTTTTTTTCTTTTTTTTTTTTGCCTTTTGTTTTCAGAGATGAAAAATCATATGAAGCAAGTCATATTGTACAACAAAACTTTTAGGGTAAATTATACAAAACTACCTCAATTATGGGTCGAATCACAATCTCATACCTTATGTTATAAAAATTACAATGTCATACCTCATCTTACGATTTTGTTGCAATGTCAAACCCTCCGTTAGTTTTTCTTTTAATTTTTCTATTAAATGCTGATGTGGCTTGAAGCAGAGCCCGTTCCCTAACCCAATTGGATTAAAAACTAATTAAATATTCAAAAATTAAAAATAAAACCATTTAAGTTTTTGATAAAAAAATTTGGGGCCCACCACTTAAAAACCCATCACACCCATCTGCCCCACCCATCTCCCCTAATCTTCCTTCACCACCCTCTCTCTCTCTCTCTCTCTTTTTCTCGCAAAATGATAGAACAAGAAGCCTAACCCATCATCGTGGATATTTCTCATCCTACCACCATTTCTTCCTCATCCCCCCTCTCTCTAAAATCCACCTCTGCAACCTACAATCTGCCATGTCTTCCCGAAACCCTACTCCTCCATTGACGACAACCACTGTGATCGCCTCCCCGACTCCTTCCTCCTCCTCATCTTCAACAAGATCGGTGACATCAAGGCTTTTTCCGTTAAGGCCTCATTTGTAGATGACCCAGATTCCTTTGCCGCCGACAGCAACAACCTCGACCAAACTGGCATCACCCACCACTCGTCGACCCAAGTCTTGAAGAAGTTCAACGAGATTCGATTCTTTCGGATTGAGCTTCCTAACGGCAAGCTAGGCATCAATGACGAAATTCTGCTAAGGTGGAGGGTCGACGGATAGGGGGTGTTGTACATGAACATGGACTAGCTCGGGGAGCTGTGGGTGAAGCCATTGTTAGCCTTCTTGGCATTGAATAGGATGATTGGCGGGTGAGGGTGGCGATGGGGAAAAGGGTGATTGGTGAGTGGGGCGACGGTGGGGAAGTGGGTTCTGGTTTTGGTGGTTAAGGAAGGTTGGGGGAGACGGGTGGGGAAGAAGTGTGAGGGTGACGTGTTTGTAGGGGCTAGTTCCCACATTTATTTATAAAAATATTTAAATTATTTTATATTTAATTTAAATTATTTAATTATTTTTTAATCCAGTTGAGCTAGATAGTGGGCCCCTCCTCAAGCCACGTCAACATTTAATAAAGAAATTAACAGAAAAATTGACGGATGTATGACATTAAAACAAATTTGTAAGATGAGGTATGACATTGTAATTTTCAAAACATGAGGTATGAGATTGTAGTTCGACTCATAGTTGAGGTAGTTTTGTGTAATTTACCCAAACTTTTAACTAAATCAAAATGTCAAAAAAATTGGTAAAGAAGCCTAGGTCTTGATCATCCATCATAGTTTTTGGAGTCGATTACTTAGTCAATGACGAAGCTTGAGGCTTTTGAAACTCGTGAAAACTTCTTGTGTTGTGTGTCGAGGAAAGCCACAAACTTTTATTTTTTTATTATATTAAACTTTTGTCAAATTTTTTTTTTGCTAGAAAAAGAAGTTCATTAAGAGAAGAACCTCTATTACAACCTGCTCCAGAAGCATCAAACAATAGAGTATTCAAAACTTCGATCGGAATACAAGCATCCCAAATATGAAGATTAACAGACTTGATATCAATAAAACTAAAGCATCAACCACAAATTTGGTTTCCTTAAAGATATTACACCACCTAACTTCCTGAAGAGCGATGGCACACCACTTGACATCCTCAAGGATGGATCTCAAGTTCCAAGGCATCTCGCACTTCCCTTGAACAACATCAATGATCAGCGTTGAGTCATCCTCACTGATAATATGGGAGAAATTCTTCCCCTTTGTCCATCAGATGGCTTCTCAGAGTGCTAAAGCCTCAGCCACATTAATGGTATTATGGCCTAAGTTTAAAGCTCCAGCAATTAGAGGGTTCCCTATCATAGTCCTAACCACAAAACCTCCAGCTACAACTAAGTTAACGACCGACCCATCAAAAGTGATTTTAACAAAGAGAGGAGACGGCTTACGCCACTTATAATGTCACTTCAACTCATGGTTCCTACTCGAACATTGCATCTGACATTTCCTTAAAGAACTTATTCTCAACCAACATTGCCCTAATGTAAGTTAGATTACATATAGGATTCTCGCTTCTGAAAATTATACCATTTCTGTCATTCCAGATTTGCCAGGAGATCATTACAGCTTTACCAAAAGTATTTAGCTCCTTCCCATCCTTATGAGGGAGGGTATTCAACCAGTCCACCATATTGTTGCTAGCTGGAGCATATCTTAGTAAATCCACATTAGCCAAGTTCCATACTTGCTTAGCAAAATTGCACTGTAGAAAGATATACTCTTGATCATTTCTGTTATTTTTACAAACGGAAAACTCGTATTACACCACCCAAAGATTTTAACTTTAGGGGGAAGAGTTCCTTTCCAAAGTATGTTGAGAAGATTCTACACATGAGACAAGGCATGGTTATCCATTTGCAACCAAGTAGTCGTCTTAACTAAAAACTTACCATTTGTAGAGGGGTCCCAAATCAACTTATCTTCAGTCTGTTGTAAAGGAAAAAGGATATGCAAATCTTAGTGAGAATATAGTTATCAACAAGTTACGCTAACTTCTCTTTATCCCATCTACGATTATCAATAAATTCTTCCACTTTAAGATCCTATTGGATTTGGTTACGATGATTTTCCATAATGAGATGGTAGAGAGGGCGAGAAAAAACCCAATTATGGGTCCAGAACAAGATATTCTTACAATCACCCACAGACCATCTCAAACCACTCTTAAGCACATATCTGGGACCCAAAATGCCTTTCCAAGCCATCAAATGGTTTTTTTTTGGGATTAGTGCTCAAGAACTCATCATTTCGTAAATACTTAATTCTGACAATATTCACCCACCCATTGTTATCATCACATAGGACTTTCCACCTTGGCTTCGCAAGGCAAGCATTATTAAAGTGATCAAGGTTACGAACACCTAACCCACTCGTACTTTTAGGTTTTCAAATAGGATTGCAATTCATCTGCTTACCCCAAAAGAAATCTATGCATTCCTTATTCAACCTACTTATGAGCTTATTAGGACATTTAAAACAAGACATGATATGATTGGGCGTACCTATAAAATTTGAGTTAACAAGGGTGAGCCTTTCAGCTTTTGAGAGCGCACTAGCTTTCTAGCCTGTTAATTTCTGCTTAACCCTTTTGAGCAGTTCACTACCATTCATAGGGTCTTTCTAGAAAACTATATTATAGATCCCCTAAGTATTTTCCTATAATAGTTTTATGCTGAATTTGAATAACATTAACAATCTCATTTCTAGTCTGACTTGTAGAATTATTAGAGAGATACAGAGATGACTTATGAAAGTTGATCTTTTAACTTGAAGCATTCACAAAGTTGTTTAGTATTTTAAGAGCATTCCTAGCACCCCTAGGGGTAGCTTTAGCAAAAATTAGACAGTCGTCAACAAACATTGAGTTGGAAACTTTATATCCAAATGGTGATGTTAAAACACCAACTTAGACTTAGGTTTACAAGGCAGTTCATTAAGGCTTCTAATGAGCCGTTCCATACATAAAATGAAAATATATAGAGAAAAAAGGTCCCTATGTTTAATACCCCTACTTGGGAAGAAATAACCGTGGGAATCACCATTAATGTTGACCGAAAACGATGTGGATGAGATACATTCCATGATGTAAGGTGGAAGATGAGGGTTAGGTATTTATAGAAAAAAAAAATTAATTTTTTAAAATTTTTCTGTATTTTTTTAAAAAATTTTGACATTTTTTAATTAATTTTTAATAAATTTTAATGTTGTAATTAATCGGGACCGTTGGATTTGAAAAATAATCAAATCCAACAGCACTCATTACGCCACGTGGCCAACGGTCAAATTTCTGACCGTTGGGCCTTTTTTTTTTTTTTTTTAATTTTTGGTGAAATAAACGTGGACCGTTGATCTGTGATCGGACGGTCCAATTTAAAATTTAAATTTAAATTTTTTTTACCGTTGGAAATCCAACGGCTCTGAGGAGGCCACGTATCCTTCACCCGGACGACTGCAAGTGGGTCTGCACGCGGGCCCCAGCGCCTGCAAAGCTGTCGGCTACGCGCCCCGCCTCCCGCGTGTTGTGCACGCGCCAGAAACAGACCGGGGAATGGGTCTGTCCATTTTGGGCTGGGCTCTTGATTGGCACGGGCTGGGTGCCAGGCAAGTTGGCGGGCTGGAGCACATATGGAGCATGCCGGGCTGTTATTTGGACTTGGTGCTGGGCAAAAAAAGCTCCGGTGGAGCTGCTCTAATACTTTGACGGTGGTAGCCGTACGATTGGTGGTAGTGGTGGTAGCCGTACGATTGGTGGTAGTGGTGGTAGTCGTACGATTGGTGGTAGTGGTGCTAAGCGGTGGAGTCACTTTATTTTTTATGAAAAAATACATGTATAAAACAATCTCTTAGTTTTATTTTTCTTCTCGTCTTTAAATTAATTTTTATTTCATAAACAATTTACACAACACTAATAAACTTCAATTTTTTTTTTCATTTGTAAATGAGAGATCATAAGTTTGATTCTTGCCAAGGACAAATTTAAACCACATTATTACTAGTCTACTATGAGGCTTAGCCCACTCCCTCACCGTCTTAGGGTAGATGATATCGTTTGTTCAAAAAGAAAAAATTTCTTTAGATTGAATTTGAGAGTGTTTGGAGGCTTTTTGTGTCGAAGGCTTTGCTGGCCTTTTTGTGTTGTAAAGAGCGAACAAAATCTTCACATCCCCCATTTATGAGTTAACCATTTTACTTGATACAAATTTGTTACGTTGGAAAAACAAGTCCTAGGAAATGCTTTGTTGTTCTTCCAGCGGCTCTTGGGTGCTTGGTTTGGTGTTACGTTGAAATGCTTCTAGCAGTTGTAGGGATCCACAAGTTTAGCAGATAACAGTGCATGAGCTTCATTTTGGTACAGTTACGTTAATATTTAGGAGAAGAATTTGTAAGAGATATGTGGTTGAGCTTTTGGTCATGGTGGTTGGTTGAGGTTTCTAAGGTAGAAGATCAGTGGTTGAGCTTTTGGTCATGATGAGTGGTTGAGGTTTCTAAGGTAGAAGATCAGTGGTTGAGCTTTTGGAAATCTTGTAGCAGTCAAGAAGGGTTTGCTGCACCAGGGAGAGAGATTTCCTACAGCAAGGAGAAGATGTTCTTCCTTAAGCATGAGGTTGAAAGGGCATGATGGAGAAGGTTTGGTACTAGTAAGCTTTCCACTTCCCCCTCCTTCATTTTACTCTGATCTTGGCTTCCAATTTACAATGAGTGACGGTTATCCCTATTTTCTGTTGAATAGAAGAATGTGCTGGAAACTACTTGTTTCCATACGGTAAAGGGATGGATTGGAACCTCCTTGCTTCCTATGCATAACAAGAGGCACTGAAAGTAGCTTTTTTCCAACAGCTAAAAAGGTGGAATGGTACCTTCTTAGTAACATATGGATAGAAGGGTGAGATAGGTTGCACCATGAATAGGTTCACGAGAAACATATGTCTTGGTCCGGAAAAGAGAAGATATATGTCATGTGCGGATGGGTTGTTGTAAAATTATGTTATTGTTATGGACAGTGCATTGACTAAAACAAGGTGTTGGAAACTATCTCATTTGCTTTCCCAATGTGAGACCACTCCAAATAATAGTCATGGACTTTGGTGCTCCCAAGTAGACAAAAGTCTCCATTATCGAAGAGTTTCTACGGACCTTATGGACGTCCATAACCTTCCACACCCCAACCCCTTTAACAAGCCCGTGAAACCATATGTCTTGAGTGATGTAAGCTTGTTAGGTGTTGGGTTTAAAGGAATGTGATTGGAATGGTGTTATATATTTTACTGTTTGGCCTGACATGAGAATTTAACTTGCGTAAATGCTTGCTAAACTATTAGTTTTGCCACTAAATTTGTATAGTACAATCGAGATTCACATGAGGCAATAAAACCGTAAGGGCAACTGGGCAATGGACGTTTAATGTGTTTGGGCCTTTGCATGCAGTTTTTGGGTCCAACAGAGAGTATGAATCCCGCTGTCATACCCACTCTTTTATTTAGGTTCAAAAGCCTTCAAGTTACATCAGATGGTCCTTCTGAATCTTGATCGTGGAATCAGATTGCCTAAATGAATATGGTTAACATAAAGAGAGTTTAAAACCTTCGAGCCTAGAAAATTAAAACCAAGAGACTTTATATATGCTTTATAGAGTTGTGATACTCTTTATATTGCAAATTAATTTTATTGTGAAGCCTAATGGTCATTAGTGCTCTAAGTTCCCTAATTTTTTGTTTTTCAAGTGTCAGGGTAGAAAATTTGCCACATGCGAAGAGGCATTGTAGTATCCATATTGTTAATTGATATTATGGTAAAACCTCAGCTTCATACGCATCAAGATAGAAGAATAGTGGGAGAAAAACTATCATGATGTGCACCTAACAAAATGATGATCGAATATGGCATTCATCACAAGGTGAAGTGAAGCAGCAACACAGGAATCAAATAAACTGGATAACCGATGACCGATCATAATTTGTAAAATATTGAAATTTTAAGACAAAACGAACGGTACAAATTTGGAATCAATATTCGGTTTCCAGCACGCCATCAATAAGCCCGAATTCCATAGCCTGCAATTTGAAAAAATAAATAAAATAAAGGGCAGGTTAATAAGCTGGATAAATAAGGGCAGGTTAATAAGCTGGATAGATAGATATGTAGTGCTGGAGTATTACTAGCTGCTGGAAATTGAAAAATTAATTTGGTTAAAAGAAGTTTATCGTAGTTCTGTAATTGTACTGGGGTCACAGAATTAACAACATTACCTCGGAAACAGATAAGAAACGATCCCTCTCAGTGAACTGTTGCACTTTCTCTAGAGATTGCCCAGTAAACGCAACATACATTTTGTCGACTTTCTGCATCAATACATCAGGACACAAGACCAAATTAAAAGACATAATGTGGAGCCGATGGCACTCATAAATTTGATGAATAAAGCACAAAGAAATAGCTCTAAGGGAAACTAAGTACATGTTAGACACAGTATTGACAGAACCCTAAATCTCGAATTCCTGCAACTCGAAAAGCAATAATCACAGATGCAAAGTCTTTCAAACATTAAAAGGAGATGCCCAGTGGATGAGGATCCCGCCCATGCAGGGTATGAGTAATACGTATTTTCTCAAAGGTCCAGAGAATGCTTTTTGAGTTTTTGGAGCAGTAACTGTTATTAGAGATGTTCCTTCATTGTATGTGCTTCTCCTCACAATAGAACCACGCTACTTCAAAATGGTGGTTATGGCTGTATTATCTACCACTAACTGCCCCAGATAACCAAGGTTTGTCTGTCACTAAATGAAGACTAAACTAATGGCACGGTGAATTTATATGTAACAACCCAACCTCGAACAGGGCTGAACCTAAATTTAAGTTGTCGTCGTAGTACTGTGAGGCAACAGCTCTCAACACCCGCATTCAAATGGTAATACTCAAAATACCACATCAAAAAGAGATTTCCTTGGACACCAAGGTTTGTCTGTCATTAAATGAAGTTGCAACTAATGCAGTGAATTATTTACAACAACGCAGTCCTAAATAGGGTTGAATCTAATTCCAGTTTCCCTAGTAGCCCTGTGCGGCAGCAGGTCTCAACACGCCTTCAATTTGTAAAAGTCTATAAGATTTCAACTTTGACTTGATCAGAAAAATTATATAACAAAATTGATTATTCTGATCAGTTTGATTTAAATCAATTAGGCTGCAACACTAATATATGATCACCAGAAAGATTTTCAAGAATACAACTAAGGGAGAAGAGACTGACATGGCGAGTTTGAACTGCTTCATTCACTTGGCGCCTCACATCTTCCACGTGGCCCTACAATAAGACAATTCCAAATCAATTCACGGATATAAAACAAAACGGATCACGTAGTAATTTGTATATAAGAAATTATTTTAATTTTACGGAAAATAATTAACAAAGAATCTGAGAATTTGAAACTAATTGCGTTAATGTGTCAGACAATATCAATTTGTTGCAGTATACATGGAAAAATCGACCACAAAGACATGAACTAATGCATTACTATAAAAATTCATGCAGTTATGAGCACAGGAGAAAATAGGGCAAGAAACAAAAACGACTATAAAAACTAGATTAAGTAACAAATCGGTTATGAGATTATTAGGTCATTTACAACAGAAAGTCAACTCCGAGACCTTTGACGGTTCAAGGATGTAACATAGTACAAAGGTATTTAAAAAGATCAAATACAACCACTAATGGTGGACATGACACAGAACCGAGCGCAATGACGTTCTAGGATTCATATAGCCGACCCCACTTAGTGGGAAAAGGCTTTGTTGTTGTTGTTGTTGTAGACCTTCACACTTCCAAAAAATACATTGACGTTTAGGTAGTACGATAATTTTTGGTCAAACTCACAACACACCTTTAGTATTGAGACCATCATACTTAATCAAACACCTGGGAGAACCAATAATGAGAGAATACCAAACTCAGCATTTCCATCATCATCTAAGGGCCAACTGAAGCCACCAAATTTTCTATCATCTCAAGCAAATGCAAGGATCAAAAAGAACATTTAAGAATTTTCAAAGGCATTAGTTCTAGGACTAAGAAATAACATGCTTCATGGTTAATAATATCAATCAGAATTGGAAAATAAGAAAAATGGAATCCTTAGGCCACAATGCATAAACAATTCTAAGGGATTTTACAATATGAAAACATTTTACTCAAACTTCGATTTAAAAGTCAAAACAAATATATATTCACTCTTTTTTCCTGATCAGTACAAATAAAATGAAAAGAAATGTAATCAAGTTCCATTTTCTGGCATGTCCTTGCTAAAAATTAGTGGAATGATGGAAATGCAATATAGAATCCTAGGATCCAACCTAACATAGCCGTTCCAATTTATTCTTAAATGCATGCGTTGTGGAATCATGAAAATGTAAAAAGTGTAAATGTAACCTAGAATCCTTGAATCCTAGAATCAACCTACAGAAAAATGTTTTACATGAAATGTGTACATTATGGAATGGTGGAAATGTTAAAAATGTTTTACATGTAATCTATAATCCTAAAATCCAACCTGCCTAGCCAGGTTAGAATAACCAAGTTCCAGCGTCTATGCCCTTGCAATATTAGTGGAATGATGCAAATGCAAGGATTGAAAAAAATATTTAGGCTATGTTTGGGTGGGGATTTCCAAGTCCCAAGGGATCGAGACGAAGTTGGTAAGGATGGATCATAAAATGTTTAGGAGGGATTAGAAAAATACCACATGAGCATTCCAAATCCCTCTCATGTAACTGCTCGATGAGATTTGAGATTCCTATATCATTATATTCATTACCAAACTTTGATTTTTAAATGATACTACATAATTAATTAACATACGGTACAAAAAGAACTTAGGTCTTCCCTCCATACCCAAAACTGATAACAGCACAAGATAGGAAAGACACCTAAAAGAATAGACCATCAAAATACAATTTACTTTTACTTCTTGTCATATAGCCCATTAATTCACATCCTCCTAACCTCTTATAAGCATCTTCTTAATAACAAAATAGGCAAGCTGTCCAAAAAAAGTTGATTCATACCCCACAACCACTCTGTGGTTGGTGTATCATGATTCGTGCATTTGGCATCGCATAGCGCATTCCTTTTTCTCCCCCAGCAAGAAGAAGTGCTCCTTGGCTTGCAGCTACTCCGAAACATACTGTTCCTACCTTAGGTTTGATCTGATAACATAAAAAATCATTTAATGCAAACAGAACATAATTGATAAATAAAACTATTTCTTGTTTGGTGCAATCGAGCCATGGTTATAATTTTGTCTTGGTTTTTCTTTGTGTGTTTGTTTGCCTGATTATTACTTGGTTAGGTTTATCTAGTTAAAGACAATGCAAACCTAATCAGAATGGCGAATGTTAAAGTTAGTTCAAATGCTACTTGAGCCTAATCACCTCCTCAGGGCTACTGCGACAACACTCTAAACCGTAATTTCAATATAGGAGTTTGATGACAAATTGATGATGTAACAAATAGGAATGAATGAAAATGCAATAAAGAAGAGAGCAAATGTTCTGTTTTGGTCCGCTCTCATGTCTTCTGTTTCTAATTAATTTAGACTTATTTTCTCTACTGTCTGCTGGCATTGGAAGTCCACAGTGTTGCATTAAAAACATTTTAGAAGGGGTTTGATTCCCTCTTTCATTTCTCTTATTTCTTATACTGGGGTACTTTAACACTCCTTTTTCTATGTTGTTTTATTGTCTCTGTTGCAATTCAATTTTCTTTATCCACAACAAAGTGCAAAGAAATGTGATAAAAATTTGGAAGGAAAAAAAAGAAAGATGACGAAGCTTCATGACATTACCCAAGACATGCAGTCATAAATTGCCAAAACAGAGTATGTACTCCCACCAGGGCAGTTCAAATACACCTGAAATGATACAGGATAAAGTCACAATCTCTGAAAGAAACCGACTTTGACATGTTAAAAATTTAGCCATGCTGAATCAATTTAAAGGGGGGCAGAGGGGAGAAGGGGAGAAAGTGTAAGTACACACCAGTATATCTGAATTCTCATCAATAGTAGCCAAAGTCACAAGCTGGGATATGACTCGTTGAGCCACCGCTGAAGTAACTGGCTGCCCAATGAAGATTATACGGTTCCTGAATAATACAGATGAGAGATCCAATGGTCCACCTGGGGTCATCACAGCTGGGAGTATGGGTGGATTCCCCTTTTTGGCTTCTATTGCACCATAACTAAAAAAATTCACAAACCTTTAATCCTATCTAAAGATAATAGAAGACATCATTCAACATACACGCATGAGTAGAATTCAAGAGCCTTGAAGGGCAGAGATTGATAGAATTATTTTCCGTTTAAATTCTAACGAGTTTAAAAAACATATTATGATCCAGTTAAAAAAGATTTTTGGCCCTAACCTATTTTCGTCAATTCATCCTCAGTTATCAATATCATTGAATAAATATATGCATTCGTTTCCAAGAGACTTTGCATAACTTGTGACCTGATGGATGTAAAAACAAAAAGCCATTTCAACCTATTTTGACTCATCAAGGAACAGAAACACAGAGTGTGTGCAGGCAAAAATCATCTCCCAAGATAAAACTACCCCGTTATGAATACAATATCATGTGAAAATCAATAGAAATATAGTCTGAAAATGCACTTTAAATAAAATCGAAAAGAAAATCTATCAATTATGCAAAAGGGCACGAGTTATAGACCTTGTACTAGTATCACCAAAATCGTTGCCGTCAAGCTTTAGAGGTGACCCACAAGTTCTACTTGATAATCCTGGAAACAGCAATACGTTTAGAATTTAATCTAGTCTGCAAAACTGAATATAAACTCCAAATAAATAGCCAAATGCAAGTAATTATCGAATAAATGACCGAAATCACGGATTAAGCTCAAACATTGAACAACTGGGTCTCTTACTCTATGGAAATAATGTAATTAGTAAAGAGAAATTACCACTAGTTGCTAAAGAATCGCCGTACGGAGTGTGCAAGGCAGAGACTGTGGACTTCGGCGTCGAATTTCTGCACCACCACCACAAAACATGAACAAACAACAAACAAATATATCATCATATAAAATGAAAACTGTAAAAAATTTTAAAAAAAATTAAAAATTGAAAGATAATCCTCTGCATTTGTTCGTACCTGAGACTGAGACTGAGAGGCAATGAAGGAAGAGATGTTGAGTTACTACTGCGGCAACAACCCAATGAAAAGCTCAGCCTCGGAGGGGCTGAGAAACCTGCTAATGCCACCATTTCGACTCACTCAGAGAGACGCAGAGAGAGCGAGCAGATTAGGAGGATTTAGGATGAGCACATCTGTGGGCTGTACGGCTCGGCCCATTAAAAATGAAACAGTGATAATCCTGTCTAACTGGTGCCGCTACTTAGTGGTGGAAATTTTAACCAAATTATTATACCAACCCTCCTACTAACCATACCATACCAAATTATTATCAAAAGTTTGTACCAATTGGTAATAGTACGGTATTTGTACCATACCATACTATTTTAGTATGGTATTGGTATCTAAAACCAGTACCGATGGTATACCGTACCAACCAATATTATTAATATTATATTATGTATTTATTCATATAATTATTTGAGAGCAAAATTAATAATAATTATTGTAGAAGTATAAAAAATGTAAAAAAAAAACATATACAATCACTTATAGTGACAAACTTTACAACTTTCATGAAGAGGTCAGCTTCAAAATCCAACACTTAAATCCATAAACCTTATATTTATATTTAACCATCGATTATCATTTACGCTTTATTCTTCTTACTAAATTTTATTTTTTTTAAAACATGATCATCTGACGGATGTAAGAAGATGAATAGTTCAAATCTTTGATATCACGTTTCGATATTTGCGATTAACTGAAATATGAGTTAATATCATATAGTTTGTAGAAACTTTATAAACATCAAGCAATATTTTCACTAACCGTAAAACTCTGAACATAATATCAACGATCCAAACCGTTCATCTTCCTGCATCCTCTAATAGATCGTGTTTTCAGAAAAGAAAATCCGAAAAAAAAAACAAAATTTGATGAGAAAAATGAAGCGTAAATGTAAACAATAATCAATAGTTAAATTTTGATCTATGATTTATACGATTATAATGACGAATTTCAAAGTTAAGCTCTTCACGAAAGTTGTAAAGTTTGTCATTACAAACGTCTATATATTTTTTTCTATATTTTTTACACTAAAACATTAATTAAAAAATATTAGATTTTGGACAAACTAAGTGGCGTAAAACTAAGTGGCAATTACCATTGGCATACCATACCAACCAAACTATTTGGTATACCAATATTCGGTATACCGAAAGTTTGGTATGGTAATGGTAATAGATTTTGCCGTACCAAATATTTGGTATGGTAATTGGTATGATAATGTACCAAAACCACTGCTACCGCTACTTGTTAGTCGAGTGTGTGTCTATTTTTTTTTTTAATAAATAATAGTATTTATACTAAGAGAATAGGAAAATAGACTAAGTCTTACAATAAACATGACATAATAATATGATTCAATTTCATCTTTAGCGAGAATCGGATCTAAAACCGCTCACTTACAGGTACTATACTTTAGCTGTATTATTCTCTCACTTATAAGTTAGATGTCTTAAATTACCTTCCGTACATGGTAAGTTCAATACTGAATTATTTTGGCAAACTCATAGTATGGCTAAGATGGGTCAATGTTATTTGTTGATTTCCCCTAAACTTGTAAGCCATTGCTAATTTTCACCCCGTTAACTGTTATTCAGCCAATTACCCTCCTAAACATGTCTAAATAGCCAATTAATTCCTAATTGTTCCAATACTCAATACAGACATCCAAAGTTTGTTCATCTTTGCCATGTGATCCACTCAAAAAGGTGAAAACATCACTTTGAGCACTTAGATGAGTCAATGTTATAGAGCGGTCGATGAATCAATTTGCATGACTCGGAGGAAAAATAAAATAACTAAATACTGGTTTGGTATTAAGGTGTTTTTATAAAAAGTGGGTATAAAAAAAGTTGAGCTCAAAAAGATGTTTGGTAAACACTTAAAACAGCTTATTTTCACAATTTTGAATGAAAAAAGCTAAAAATGTGAAGCAGTAAGAATGAGCTTATTTTCACAGCACAGCAAAAACAATTTTTTTTCAAAGCACAGCAATACCAAACCCGCCTATAATGGTGGTGGGTTTTAAAGAAGTGCCAAAAGTCAATTTACGTTTTTTAAAAGTTCACTGGTTATCAAGCGAGAAATATGAACTAAATAATATGAAAATTTGAACATTTAAAAATGAAATTAGTTATTTATAAAAGTTTCTAGATGAAAGTTACCAGTTTGGACGTCGCTGCCATTTATTGAAATAAAAAATTGAAGTATATTCAAAATTTGAATTTTTATGTGTGAGGGAACACCACGTGGCATGGTGTTCCCGGCACACTGAAAAATTACTCCCTTGGACCGGCCTGACGCAGCGCAAATCTAAACCAGTTGGAACCGGCCGGATACATTGGAATCTGGACCGGACATGCATGCAGCAACTGTGAAGCGGTTAAAAGAAAGATGGTCCATCGCCAGCTAATACACAATTTAACATTCTCCAGTTTAAGCTTGTAGCGTGAGAATCTGAAATGTTGAAGCTGAACCCCATATTTAGCCAAAAAGAACCAAATTCCCCCAACAATTTCCTTAAAATTCACCAAAAAAACAAGTTCATTCCAATTTTCCCCAATTTTCCACATATGCCAAACCCTACAATTTTCCATCACTTTCCTCCCATCCAATCACCCTCCCCCACAAAATTCCACTCCACCATTCCCCAATCCTAGTCCCTCTTGACAATTACGCACACTCTACAGTTGTTGTCATTGATCGATGGAGGAGGAGGAAGGTCCCGACAGGGGCGAGATCAATGGCGGACTGGCGTCCATGGACTCCATCGAGTCGCGGTGGGTCTTTCAGGACGAGGACGACTCCGAAGTTGACGACGAGGATGCGGATACGGAGGAAGATGCGATGCGTCGGACGGTTCTCGATTCGGAGGATGATGAAGAGGAGGACGATAATGCTGAGCAGCGCTTGATTCGCACTGGCCCTCGCGTGGATTCCTTTGACGTCGAAGCGCTCGAGGTCCCCGGCGCTCACAGAAACGAATATGAGGTGCTTCAAAATCCCAATCTCTCACTTTTACTATTTACTTTGTCGTGAGCTTAAGACTTGCATTTCTGGATTCGGTCGAGTAGCCTCGCTCGTTCAGCATTGCTTAGTGTGATGTAGATCCATGCTTGTAGCCACTTTACTTTCCTATCATGTTGTGCTGCATACGTACATTATACATACATGATACATCCTGTGTAGCTTTGTAGTTAGTTTACGTTTTGGGAGATTCACTTATTGGACAATTATCGGGTGCATATATAGATGTGTTACAATCGCGATTGACTGTACACGTGAAGCTGGATATGTTGGTTTTATTAACCCTGTTTTTAATAATTATTTTAGTTCTAATGAATGTCTTGCAATGTTGATGCTTAGGCTCTAAGGAGGCATGTTTAGCATCCTACCCAAGTTAAGAAATTGTCACTTTTCAGAGCGTGGAGTTTACTTTTTACTTTATGCTTTTTGGCTAGCTTGATTTCTGGTAGAATATGGTGCTAATAAAATAAACTGCCTAAGCATCTATGCCATATACATTTTAGGATTATGTGTTTTTTTCCGCTTCATATAAATTTTAGGATTATGTGATCTTTCTGTTTCATTAAGAAAATTCTGAATGTTATTTAAGAGCTCATGACCATGGTATGAGTGGCTTTGTAAACGTAAATTAGTAGCGGATGTTGTAATTGTGGTAAACATTAAGGTTGGATTATTTTGAATCTTTAAGCAGAACTTCAGAGCAGTTACATGATGTTGTGGGTGGGTATAGACTATAGAGAGGAGTATGGAAATTCATTAATGTAAAATGGCAGCTTTTAGTGAACATAAGTTACATTGTCATAAATTGCATACTTGTTTACCTTTCTAAGTTTGGAATTTGTGATGATTGATGACTTTTTTTTTTTTTAATAAAACAGAATGCTCATTCATCAATCACATACACCATTAGGAAGTACAAGTCATAAATCATCAACTCCAAATTTCAAATGATAAGCAATTATGACAGTGTAATCATGCTCAATCCACTCTTCTCCAAAAACGGAACCTTTTATTGAACCATCTCAATTGCTTTGGACGGCTGAGTTACCTAGTAAAGTACAGATGTATACGTGGATGGGGTCATTAAATTTTGGTATTTCTAGTGTAAGAGACCAGATTAGTTTTCTATGTGCAATAATGGATTAGAAAATGTTGCTTATATTATTTCATTATTGCCCAGTAGCTCTTGGACTGTGGCACAAGCGGAGATGGGGCTGAGTTGGGTATTCTTCTAGGAGAGGAGGTGATAGTTTTTATGGGGTAGGGTGAGGCTTTGGGCTTCCTTGTGTCCAATGGTAGAGACGGTATCAGAGATTTCCATTTCTTCGTTTTTCATTTGGATTGGGTGCTGCAGTCAGTTGATTTTGGTAGGGTTGCTGCTGGTAGATAGGAGTTGTATATTTGTTTTCGAAGTTTTTTGTTTTTGGTTTTTTGTTGGAATAGGTTTTTCTTGGTGGTGAACCTCTTTTCCACCACTGGGCATTTCTTATGCTATTCTTTCTGTAACTCATTGAGCTTTCACTTAATAAAGTCTCAATTTCTTATATTCTCAATGCTGGAAGGCTGATAGTGTGCTTCATTTTTTCTTCTGGGAAATATGTGCAGATTTTTTATGTAGTGCTGAATATAGATTGCCTTTCTCATTTTTTATGTTTCTAATCCCTTTGGACCATTATTTAATTGGAGTAGAGTAGTTAGAATTGGAAAAGACCTACAATAGCAGCAACTAGAGACAGGAGGAAATCTTTACTCAGTGATTTTCAAGAAGAAACCTTAGTTATGTTCTTATGTTTAATTTACTTTTTAAATCATCTGTTACGTTGTTTATATATGAAGAACATTGAGTTTTAGGTTTTTAGCAACTTGGTATTAATATTCAGAAACTTAAGTTGTAATCATAACCCAACGAGTATGTTGAACTTTCACAATGAACTATTACCTAGGCAACTCATGGTAACTCCAAAATTTGCTTCACAAAAGTAGTTAACTTGCCTTATCTTTGGCCACGGGAGAAAGTGGCATTTTTCTCTAATATGGATTAATAGATTAGTTTTCCTTAAAGTATATCGTCTGCCTTAGTTCATTGTCTGCCATATAGTT